TTCAACTTGCTCACTTCATTAGTGAGGTTGCAAAGAATAACTTAAAAATTGCATTCTGTACAGTAGGGTTATGTTGTATATGATGTCAAACAGTACTGAATTCGAGAAAAAAGAGGAAACTATTCAATGTTCCCTCCTTCTTTTATGTGTCATTTGGAATGCTTCTGTAGAATCAGCCACATCGAACGAATAGTTAGGCATGTTTAACGTTGAATTTCCGAGACAAAAAAGTCGTTTTGTAGCTCTACTGTAGAACATCTTGTCGATAGGGATTGAAGAAATGATAATTAAAGAGATTTTTAGAATTGCTAGTCGCATCCCTCACTTTATGTGTAATTTTGACGATTTTGTCAATTCTGCTCGTGAACATGTTACCGTTTGGCTCGAAAAATGTGTGACCAAATCAACTTATAGTGCCATTTTGTTTCATCTAGTAGACAGTGAACACCATATCAAAATAGATGAATCATTTACGTTTGTATATCGAGTACCAAACGTCTTTCAGCTACAGCGGAAGCTGCAGAGATTAATAAGAAAAAACCAGACCTATGTTTACAAAAGAAGCACATTCATCCTGTTTGTTTACCCTGGCCTACTACTGATATAACTTTCACATGCCTTTTTAATGGCTAATTGTATTACGATATTCATAGAAGAATTCATCGAAAACAACTGTTCGCTCAAAATCATCTTGTTCTTCATCTTTATTAAACAGCTCTCGTGTCATCGATTTCTAATAATCTGATTACTCACTTATTCTTAACTTTATCCTATAAGCTGCAGTATCCAGCTACATATTTAGTTTTCATAATTTTTATATAGCTTAGGCGATTGACATCCGAACTGTTAAGCCTAAGCTATACTTTCAGCCTTTCGTACATTCACTATCCGTCTCCTAATCCGTTAAGATCTAAATGAGTGATTGAACTTTTTGTCAGTCTCTCCTTAATCTTATCGCATCTCTAATGAAACTTGGTTTATTTATTTATTTATCTTACAGCCGAGTATTAGGTAATCTGACCGTTTGTTTTCTTAGCCTTTATAGAACACGATTTAAGCAAATACTTATTTTCGGGAAGTTCTCATCACGCTTTATACATACATAATCAAATATTAGTCATAGATATTTGAATTAATATGGTTAATCAAATATACAACTAGAGTTCAGAGATGTGAATTAGTGGATAACAATCTAGGTGATCACATTAATAATAATAATAAGGATGTATTCACTCAAGTGTTTATATAGTCACGGCAGTGGTGAGTGTATAGAGAATGTAAGAGATACGAATGTGCACTTTCAGTTTAATGACCAGTTTTACCGTCAGGTGTAGGGTGTAGCAAAAGACTTCTCTCTGGGTCCTCTGTTAGTTGATATCTTTATGGCGAAATTAGAGAATCGTTCACTCAAAGACGTAATCAATGAACTCTCGTTCTACTGTATATTATTATTATTTTATCCTTTAATTCCTAGAGGAACATAGGGCTTCAGCTGCGCATCTCCATTGCCTTTAGTTTTCTTCCAACATTTTCACCTCACTCCAAGTCTGCCCGCATGCTTTCATCTCCTCTTCACATGACCTTCTCCAAGTCACCCTCACACTGACGACCAACTCGCAGACCGCTTCCCTTTCGGGTTCCACTCGAGCAATGGCTTGTCTAGTGATGTCACCTGATGGTTTCCTCAGCGTATGGCCAATCCATCCCCATTTCTTCCTGCCTATTTGTTTCACAATCGGTTCCTGGTTGGTTCGCTCATTGCCAGAGATACCTGTCGCTGATCTTTTCTGGCCATCTGATCTTGAGTATTGAGTGAAGACAACTGTTAATGAAGGTCTGAAGTTTGTTGAAGATGCTCTTTATGACGCGTCAAGTCTCTGATCCGTAAAGTAAATAGCACTGACTTCACATTGGAGTTGAAAATCCGGATTTTATTTTTGATTCTGAGTGCTGTTGACCTCCACACAGACTTGAGAGTAATGAAAGCTTGTCTTGCTTTTCCGATTCTGGCTTTGATATCCTCGTCAGTTCCGTTCAGCTGTAGCTGAAATGATGCTTCCCAGGTAGGTGGTTAGGTAAAGGAGGTTGTTTCTTTCAGGTTCCTCCCATTTATGCTGGCTGATTGCTGTTTGTTGTTGTTGCTGTTGATGTTGGCCAGGAATCTTCATCACCTCTGTTTTATCTATGTTCACTTGAAGTCCTATCTTTGATGCTTCTTTTGCCAGCTTGTTGCTTTTCATTTGCATATCTTCCAGTTTGTGGGAAATCAGACATATACATCACATCGGCGAAATCCAGGTCCTCCAGGTTTTTTGTGTGAGTCCATTTAATGCCTGTTTCCTCATTGGCTGTTGTCTGTCTCATTATCCAATCTCCTGCAGTCAGGAAGATCATTGGCGATAGTTGACAACCTTGCCTCACCCCCGTCAAGGCTGTAGATATATGGACGATACTTTTACCTTGCATAATAATAATATAATCAATGCCGAAGTCCTTCTCCAGACATTCAACAGGGTTAGCCTACAAAATGAGTTCACATATGAAAAGGAGAAAGACAGGGTTTTATAGTTCCTTGATGTCCTGCTTAGAAGAAGGCAAGATGGAGGCAGTTTTCGGAAGAAACCCTGGCTTCACCACTGCACCCATTTCCCTTTGCATACAAACGAAATCTTGTCAGTACCCTGAAGTATCCTGCTAGAAAAATCTGCACAACAGAAACTCTAGATGATGAAACAAAGAAAACAGAAAACTTATTATATAAGAACCCAAAAAATTTGTTAAGATCTCCATTAGGAGAACAGATAGAAAGAAATGCCTACGAACTGTGCAGAAGAAACGCATATGCATGACTTTACCATTTAAAGGAGTCTCAGAGACTGAATTGTTGGAATTAAAACTCGGAGAAATAATAGTTAAAACATTCTTTGCCGCAATATTGTGTTTAAAGTTCATCAATCGTTGTAAAATTACAATGCAGGTGAAGGATACCCTACCGAGTCTGGCCACTTCAGTGTGCATTTATAAATTTGACTGTTCATTTGGAGACAGTTGCATAGGTAGAACGACTCGGCGAGCCCACCGTCGCCTTTTGGAGCATTGTCCAACACGGTAAGGTGAGGGAGTCATAAAGTCAAACAGAAGCTCCACACTGGGACACCTAGTGGATACGATGCACAAGACTGACAAAAAACCAGCTTTTACAATTCTATACGAGATGCTACTTGAACTCTTTGGTTTGGTAGGTCTTCGGTTGCTAATCATAGGTGAGGTAGTTCCCGTAAAATTTTTCAATCTAATCTCTGTGTTCAGAAAAAGTTTGTTCAACCTCTCTCCCTCCCTTGGCCTTTGCCTCAAACATAAAAAAGTTATCTGTCATGTTGACACCGGGTAACAGCATCATGTTATCATTTTTACCTAATTTGTAATGTTAACTGTATTATCAGTACCATGCTGTGCTGTAGTTGTACATTTTAATCTCGGTTTAACAATTCATTATTACTACATTTGAAACAGTTAGTTCGCTTTAAATTTAGACAAAGCGATAAGAAAACATAGTTTATCTGAATCATGTATTATTATTATCGCTATGTGACAATAGTTATTTTCACCTCTTTCCCTACTAGTATACACATTCTACCTAAACACTCACCCCTGCCGTGACTATATAAACACTTGAGTGAATACATCCTTATTATTATTATTATTATTATTATTATTATTATTATTATTATTATTGTGATCACCTAGATTGCTATCCACTAATTCACATCTCTGAACTCTAGTTGTATATTTGATTAACCATATTAATTCAAATATCTATGACTAATATTTGATTATGTATGTATAAAGCGTGATGAGAACTTCCCAAAAAAACGTGTTCGCTTAAATCGTGTCCCATAATCTCTCCTTAGTCTTATCGCATCTTTAATGAAACTTAGTTTATTGACTTACCTTACAGCCTAGTATTACGTAATCTGACCATTTGTCGTCTAAGCCCCTATGTACTACGTCGATATGAAATGTTGTTTGTATAACTGTGTCATTTTCCACTAGCCTTATCATTACAAGTCTGTCCATGTTTCCATCTTTATTATTATAGTATTATTATTATTAATAGGCACATTACTAATATGACCAATTGCACAATTTATGTACACAGTTTTATCATCCTACTGACAAAGCATCATGATTGGTTTAAACTTAACATTTATTTGTTATTGGAGTGAAGACTGATAAGAACTAGCCGAAAAGAATGTTTTAATTCAATTTTAGATGTTCCCGTAGACTGATTGGACTGAAGTTCACGATATCCGGTTGACATGTCGGCTTCTTGTGCAGATGCTTTGACGATGTCTGGGCATGTAATTAGCATTTAAGTGGTGGATGGTGACTAGCAGTGGAATCAAGTCAGGATGCGCATTTCGTCCTATTTGGGACTCGGCAGCTAGACGTGCCGAGCACTTCGGTCCAATCAATTGACGGGAAAATCTAAAATTGAATTTAAATTAATATGAACAGTTGCACAAGTGGTAGCTCTCGTGGCCTAAGGGGACTAGTGGATAAAGCTTTGACATTTGAAACTGGGTTCCAGCCTCGGTGGGAACATCATCATTCACCGCGGAATGTAGGTACATCTCGATGACGAGGCCAAATGGGAAGAAATGAGCACACTGGATTCCACCAATTAAAGAATATTGTTCTAAATTATTTTGATGTGGTTCTATGCTTTGATTAATTTGGATAGAGTTCCTCTACGTTACACCTGTCAACCTAATTCGCAACGATTAATAATCACCCATGTGACATTTGCTAAATGCAAATTTTTGACCACTAGATTCATAAATCACGTATCGTACTAAAATTGCTATATCTATAGGTGTAGAGCAACTGACACAATCTAATCGGAAGGCAAATATCTCTTCATTTAACTTCTCTGTTAATTACTGATTATCAGAAGAGAGAAACATATCTGCAAAAAGCATGAAGGATAATTGACTTACGCGTAAAAAATCATAACTTTGTGTATCGCCTCACGGGTGGCCTGAAATTGTGTATTCAGCGATTGAATCATTTTTATTAATTCATTCTCTCGTATTTTGTAGGTTGCCTGGACATCAGCTAGTAAGTGATTAGTGTATTTCTCAAGTCCATAAACAGCCTCTCTGGCGATTATCTGATCATTCGACTTGGCCGCATCAACTAATCGCTAAATTATAAAAGAGAAATGTAATGGAGACCTCTTAATAGTCAAGAAATTCACCACTTCTGAACAGAACAAAAGGAAATAAATGTAGAAAAACTTCAGATACATATATATCTGTTTTGTTTAAACTCTTTATTTGTATAGTAAAGCTCACGGATTCACAGTCACGACACTTCGCAATGTTCATCCATCCTTGTTTATTCTCAAAGCAGTCGTACATATGTACACATTTTTCTAATCACCTTCGATGTGTATCCAGAATGGTGGATTTCAGAAGACAGACAATGTGAAAGTCAACATACACCTGTAGTTTTATTTGCAGCATAGAATACTTACTTACATTTCATCCTTATAATGAAAAAAATTTGTGATAATCATTTTATACCTATTAGAATCGGCTTTGACATTAAATGATTAATTTCTAGTACGGCTTTACTGAATATTATAAATAAACAACTTGGCTGTGACATAGAAGTCATCAACATCTCATTATCAGCTACTGATTAAGCTACGTTTGGTGGTTTTGATCTTGTCCGGGGAATCAGTATTATCCTAGCCAGTAATCTCTAGGACAATGACACAAGGACGTTCTGAATAAAGGCTTTGAACTCTGTCTTTGACCAAGTCTTAGTTTTGCATCATTGACTAGGCATAACATAAGGTTGAATGGCACATTCACCTTTCGGATGTTGTGACAGAGTATACATTTAGCTTGTTTTTCTTATATGTCGTAACTCACAGTTATTATTATTTATTATTGTTCCCTTAGGTTCCTAGTGGAACATAGGGCTTCAACTGCACGTCTCCACCCGCTTTTGTCTTCCTTCTGCTGTACTTTTCACCTGCATCCATACTCTTTCAACTCCTCTTCACATGATCTCCTCCATGTCACCCACCCTTCCTCTGACGTCCCACTCGCCGCTTCCCTTTCGGCCTGGTTCCACTCGTGAAATGGCCTGACGCGCGCGCGATGTCACTCAGCGGCCTCCTCAGCAAGTGTCCTATCCATCTCCACTTTCTTCTGCATATTTAAGTGTTGGTTTGAAGGTCCTGGGTTCGAATCCCGGTGGGTGCGTACTGCTGAGGAGTCCCAAACTAGGACGAAATAGCTGTCCAGTACTCCCAGGTTTTCCAATGGTTCTCTAACTAATGTCAGCTCATGATGAAATCCTGAAATTCTGCATATTTGTTGGCTGGCGATTGGTTCTTGCCTGTTGGTTTGTTCTCATGGTTTCTTGTCGTTGGTGATTCTTTCCGTCCCGGCCATCAAATCTTCAGTATAGAGCCAGCGAAGACAGTTGTTGATGAAGGTAACGTCTGCAACAGGGTGTTGGAAATATTCTTTGTGACCCTCCAAGTTTCTGATCCGTATAGAAGAACTGACTGACTTGACGATTGTATTGAAAATCCAACGGAATTTTGTTGTTGATGCTGGCTGAGTGACGAAGATTTCCAGATTGGTTGGCTTCAGGTTGATAAATGTGTTTCTCGCTCGATATGACATCCTCGTCAGTTCCGACTGCCTGTAGTTGAAACAATGCTCCCTAGATAAGTGAATGAAGTAACCCCTTTCAAATCCCTCCCGTTGAATGTGATTGACGCTGGATGTTGCTGTTGCTGTTGGTTGGTTGGTTATTTTCATAACCTCCATCCTGTCTATGTTCACATGGAGTCCTGTCTTCACTGTTTGCTTCTTTGACCAGTTTGTCGGTTTTCGTTTGTAAGTCTTCGATTTTGTGTGACATGAAACATAAAATCCAGGTCTTCTAGGTTCTTCACGTCAGTCCAGGATATTCCTGTTTTCTCGTTTCTCACTGTCCAGTCCACCACAATTAGGAATATCATTGGTGATATTAAGCAAGCGCCCTTGTCTGACTCCTGTGTTTACTCCAAACGCCTCGCTGAGTTTTCCGTTGTGGATGACTTGACATGTGCCGTTGTCGTACAGCTGTTAAATAAGGTTGATGAATGATGATCACAATTACGAAGTATAATTATTATTTTTACTGGATACAAATCACAATCTGGAAATTACATAGTCCGAGGTGAAAATTCATGACAGTTTCTATATATAAACCAAAATTATTCAGATAGCACTATCTCATCTACTCGATACCATGAATGGTAATCAGCAAAGCAAGCTTACATGCTTGATATTACATACTGCTGATTGGTTGATATAAGCAGCTGGATACAACTACCATCAGCCAGCAGCGACAGCTTGCCATACCTGTATAATTTAAAAACTGTTTCCACCGTCTGGCGTGTATAGATCACTTTTATCTGGTTAGCAAGCACTATTGTCTAATATGAATGGTTTTCTACTACTCACAACGATTAGTAGGATATACCACTCCCAGTTCAGCTTATTGCTAAAATATTCTTACAAAACTGGCTTTACAACTATCAAACTTTCTTATTGACCGTAACTAGTCTTCTCATCCATATAAAATAAGAAGTTAAACTGCTGATGAAATTGTGCGCTAAATGAAGTGAAATCAGGATAAAGTCAACTTTGCTGTCTAAGGTGATCAAATATTGAGTCGATTATGAGGAGGTCAGTGAAAGAGAGTTAAATTAAAGTGATTGAATGCATTTTTTAAGGTAGATGACAGCTAACTGCCTTGACTTTTTGATTGTAAATCTCAAGATTCAAAATATTAATTGAAGAACTACTAAATGGATGCTTCAAATTCCATCTTCTTCCTTTACCTGCTAATAGTTTTCACAGTAATTAATTAGTGGATGGTGACTAGCAGTGGAATCCAGGATGCGCATTTCGTCATATCCGGGACTCTTCATCTGCACAAGAAGCCGACATGTCAACCTGAGACCGAGCATTTCAGCTCAATCAATCGACAGGAAAATCTAGAATTGAATTAAATAGTAGTTTGTGTAATACATGTATGCTTACAGAATGACAGCTGAATGAAGGGGAGACAAAGCCTGAGTTTCTGTTTTTTTTTAACTCATCCTGAGACGAAAAACAATGGAATGGGTTGATTATCTGATTTAGCAAAGAAAACTCTACAGAACTGCATTGTTTTAAAGTTGTTACTTTTCAAAAACCGGAAAGCACAAATAGAACTCCAGTGATACCACAGTGTATACTAACCTGTATTGGCTACGAACTCCTATAAAAATCAAACAGATAGTGAATGACTGACTATATGTGTCAGCTCATGACTTAAACCTATTTTGACTAATATTGATCAATAGTTACTTAGGCGCGTAACACATGACGAAACGGAGGCATTAAGAAATGTGCGGAATTTTTAACACAAAAATAAGTTAAAAAAAGAGAGTTTTACTGCAGAAAAATTAATCTTACTGTTATCTGAAGAATACATTTTGAAATGAATTAAAAATGAATCAACAAGACAATTTACTGTATATCCATTTAGTTAAAAAGTACAGAAATATTTACTTTCACTGGCGAGATAATATGAATTCTATTAACAGAATAAAATTGATTAACACTTCAAAATGAGATAAAGTAGAGACTTATGAAATGTCAAGGAAAACGGAACACTTATGTGTATCTTGTCTAGGAACATTTCAGCAATCCGAACTTAAGACACTGTAAGAGACTGAATTCAGGGTCGTTGAGCTGCTTCGTAGAAATGTTACCATACAACCATTAGCTGACAGTTGAATGAACTTCTACCGATTTCCAAGGGCAATACAATCATCATTTTGAGTTGTTGACAAGAAATAACCATACCACTGATGAGCATGAAAGACGCCAAAAATCAAGCAGTATTCATTGAAGTCTGTCAGAAAATGAATTGAAATATATATAATCTATTCCTCACAAAACTTTTTGTATTTCTTGTTTACTGTGCGACGTTATTAATGCATTACATTGTATTGAAGTTTTCGTGTCCTTTTTGCTGTTATTATCCACTTAAAGTTCCATGAAATATGCAATGAATAACTGTTATTCTGTAGAGATGACAAGTATACTTCCAGTTTCTAGGGGACCGATACTATCACTGACGGTATACCTATCTCTTTTAATCTCAAAATCAGGAAAATGGTGACTTTTTTCATAAAGAAAGCAGATTACAATGGTGCATTATTAATAATACAAATACTGTTATGGGAAAATCTTACAGTTATTCCGCTAATATGGTAGATCAATCTAGTTCTAAATTTGTCCAAAATGTGAGTTAACTTTTGATTAGTTTTTGTTATCTCTGACTGTAGGTAGTCGCGTTCTTTCACAACCATATCAAGTTTCTAAAATTCAAATGCATGAGAAATAAAACTGTTATTTAATATTGAGGAGTAGGTAGTGAAAACCTCAGCCTCAACTAGTACATCTAATGATCACTTGTTGTTATTATTATTATTAAAAAGGCGCATTGAAACTCAAAAGTACAAATGAACATATAGAAAATCCAAACAAGTGATTCAGCGAAGAGACTCTTTTCAACGAATTTATCATCAAGCTGTACAATCCTATATACATGGTTTTTAAGAAGTTATATCCGGTGGGGGAATTGAATCATAGGCGTTTTTTATGTTTTTTTTTTATTACAGCTTGATTTCACACCGTATGTTTTGGTACAGGTATGGAATCTTCAGCATGTGATATCAGTAGCCCAAATTTTGCAGGCCAACCATAGATATCAGGTGTGCGTCGGCAGCGGATCGCTGCATAAAATGCATAAATAATAACAGTATGAAATGCGATTAAAATTATTTATTTTATTCGATTTGTTTACTAATCCTATAATCGCACACCCTTTTTCAAGTTCTATCCATCCTATGAATTATTCTATATATGACATTAATTTGTTTTGCCACTTGATATTTAACTATGATTATAATCACAAACATTTTAACTTTTTAATTTCATTTCATATTACTGTTATTATTATTTTATGCATTCACACCTATGATTCAATTCCCTCAACGGATATAACATCTTATAAACCATATATATACGATTGTACAGCTTGATGATAAATTCGTTGAAAAGAGTCTCTTCGCTGAATCACTTGCTTGGATTTTCTATATGTTACAATGAGAATTTTCCATGAGTTAACAAATGAACATCACTAATTAATATACGAGGTGCACAGTCAATGCTAGTCATGACTCATTCGCATATCCGGTTTTTCTTTGGCAAATGAAACAATAGACAACAACAGATTCAGTGAGAACCTCTATTGCAGGAATATAGATACAACCACCTAATTTACATTTAAATTCAAACAACCATCAACAGAAAGTAACAAAAAGTTAACCAACCAAGAAAATACTGTAACAGCTGTTGAAAAGGCTCATATAAGAAAACCAAGCCAACCAGTTCTATCTCAAATTATCAACGCTCAGTCATTAGCCTATTAGACATTGTAAAGAACTCGTACATGCGCATTAAATGTACCTTGGGAATTTTTCACCATCTCCATCCTGTATCTTTCTAACATTTTCACTTCTTGTCTTCTACTTCCCTTTTACTCTTTCTTAACACCTAGATAGTGCATTATCTTTCTCTGGAATATGTCTATATGCTATTTGCATGGATGTCTGAAAACATGCAGAAACACATGGAGATACACACGCAATATTAGAAACAATAAGATGTTATTCATTCTCCATCGTGAAGCAGAGCATCTTATAAAAAGTTTCGACTCCCTTGGGTTAAACACTTTTATAATGTACACAGCAAACAAATAACTACTGAGACATATAGGAACGGGAATCCGGTTGTCAATCAATGCAACTGTCTAGGCCTAAGAGATATACGGACGATGTATACACAGTGTCATTAAGCTGAGCGATGAGACAGTATAGTGGACTGATGTTTTTGTAGTAGGAAAAAATCATTAGAAAATTTTTTTTCTATTAATGCATTTTCTAGGTAGAAAAATTCACAATTGTCAGTAGATATATACTGTCAGTAAGGCATAGTGTCTGAAGTTGATTGTAAATACAACTAAGATATAAGGAATCGACAAGAAATAATAATAATAACTTATCATTTAAAGTGTTTGTCGGATGAAAACATATCACTTTATTCCCTGCAAATATATCCGTTCTTGCTTTGTTCAGACTAACCAAGGTTGTTTGGTATATAGTATCCTTCATTCATTTGGTGCTCACTTCTAATAGTCAAAGTAGGAGGGAAATGCAATCTTAATGGTAGATAGGTTGCACTCTAGTTCCAAAGTAATTGATACCTGTGAAGGCATTTAGTTGTGATTGAAGTTATTTATTTAAGTGTTCAAGTGTTGGTTTGTAGGGATTTGATTGATTGGTTTCAGGATTTCATTTATTTATTTGTTTGTGCACACCACTGAGATGTATTCATAACAGGTTTTATGCAAATCTCTTCTTATATCTACTTTCAGGTAAACATATATTCACATTTATTGTCTAGACACGTATAGAGGTGTTTTCCCCTTGTATTAGTAAATGCAGTAAAATACTTCAAAGACCTAGATGCATAGATTTCATGATCGCATGGATCAATGTATCACATGGTTTAAACGTTTTTTTTTGTATAGCGATAAGTGTATGACTTTTTAATTCATTTCTCCTACCTAAGTTGTTTTCAGGAAACTAAACAGAAGACATTAAAAATTCGTCGGCTCATCTGCTGGGTGTTGTGCAACGAAATACATACACCATAACATTCCAGCTGCAGACAAAACTTTTTGATAAATACCTTGCAGTCTGATTGATAAGGAAGGGAAAAGAATGTATTTTCAAATGGAATAGCGTTTTAGATGAAGGTTCTACTAAGTTACAGACAGAAGCTTTTAACTACACAACAGGAATGAAATAAAAATGCCTTTTAGCAGTCCCACTAGTCTAATTCTAGGATATCAGATATACTTCTTTAGCATTCCTAAGAAATTCATACTAACTCTGTATTCATTGAAACCACTACAAAACTTTCAGTCAAGGATATTTGATCTTTCACCCTGTCTGATGAAAACATAATCAACTGAAAATTTCCCAGTGTATATTAAAAGCTTTGTACTATATGCTTCCTTAGAAAATTCTAGTCATAACGGATACATGGGCTTCGTTTAGAATATGGATAATATTATCTTGCTGATCAATACCAACAAGCACAAAATCTGGTTCATTTAGAGCTTCACCAGGGACAATGACTACCTGTTTTGCATTTTAGCATACTTTTTATTGCCCCCGTGTCCAGTATAGTTATTATTGTGGTATGGTTTACGCTTTACCGGCTAGTTTTATAGACTCGTAACTGTGAAAACCGAATATCAAGTTACCGTTTCTACAATTATGTGAATGAATATTTGGAAATACAAGATAAAAGCCAAAGTCACGTAGCTTTACTATGGATATATATATATATATATATATATATATATATATATATATACATGATGGACAAAAATGGCAAAGTAAGTGAAAACAAATAAATCATCGAGTTTCACGAAAATAAATCAAGAAGTGCAGGGAAATAAATCTAGGCCATTATTTTCGTTTTGCCTGTTGTTTATTTCACATTTCCATATATATATATATATATATATATATATATATATATATATATATATATATATATATATATATAATTTATGCCTCTAACTCGTTATAATATTGCTTTCTCGTACATTCGTTTTTCTGTTTGAAAACAAATGTCATGCATTATCCAAGCAAACTGAGATTATGCCTCCCTTTTGAAAAATATAAATAACATGTTAGTGGAAATAAGCTACTTATATGAATTATTAGCCCAATGTAACTAAACACACAGTTAAGTGGACTGATAGAATCCAGTTATCATTAAATTGACTAGATAGTTTAACACTCCACACCCCCACTCACAACCAGTGACCGATCAGCGCACATCCATCATAATTATACAACACTTCAAATGCGGACCGAAGAATTCAATCGTAAAGTCGATTGTTGCAATAGTGAGTGAAGCAGTTTCACTTTTCAGCTTACAGAATGTACAATTTTCGTTAGAAAGTGATAAGTTGAAAGAATCAGCAGAGGTATGTTCTCATATACATAACGTGCTATTACTGGAGAATCCAATGTATTCATTAATTTCAAACTTTACTAACACTTATATAATATCACTGTATACTTCACCTCTCAAAACAGTATGCTGAATGCCTAAAACTAAACTAAAATAAAATTACAATAATCATAACTACATTAAAGCCTGTTTTGCAATGTTTCTACTTATAATTTAATGACAAAAGTGTGAACAACATTCGTCGAAAAGGAATTAGGTCCACATCTGTTTTCTGACTGAACACTATCCATGCCTATGTAATGTCTTTTGCTATGGCCTAATTCAAATAGAATACTTTTTCCCCATGGTATGATACTTTAGTGGTGTACAGCACCAAAGTTCCCAGTTAGCTAATTATTCAATAACACTTTTGCTTTCTTTCATCTCAGATTTTCAGAGTGATTCTTATCCTGATTGGAATATGTAAGACTGATGTCGTGTAGATGAAGTAACTGAAGCTTCAGAGTTTGGCGAGAATACTCAGCCAAATAATTTAGTTAGATTGTAACGACTAAAGACAACGGCCACGCAACAGATCGTTTATTGAGAAAATCAACAGATACATTGTTATGTTCATTATTATAGGTTATTGTTAGCAGAAAAACAGAGTCTTCTTATTGGTTGTTTTTTCTCTGAGAGTTCACCTGTCATCTCTTTGTGGTCGTTTCTTTGATGGTGATACCATACATCTGGGAATCGCACCCACCCACGCAAAATCTTTGTTCATGTTTTTCTCATGACCAAGATTTGGGAAGTAAACATTGACGTAAATTGCTGTCTACCAATTTTGGCTAGCTGACAGCTCTCACCACAAGTTAACTTAAAATACACGTTGTAATTGTTTGTTAGTACAGTCGTTTGTAGTTGCTATAGTTCCCACTCTTATACACTATAGAGATTTCTATAGGTAACCGTATTTTACAATTCTTCAGCATACTTTTTATTCTGACTTTCTTTCGATTTAATCTGCGTGGGAAGTTAGGAGATGTAAGAATACTAGTAGGAGTCATCGAAGTATTTTTGGACTAAATGTATAGTAAGGATGAATGTACTTGCGAAAATAAAAGATTCATCAATCGATGCAATAGTTATATTCATCGAGGGTAGAAATCACTATGAGAAAAAGAAGCTTGGAAGCCATGTTTAATAGAACAGGCGAAATAACAAAGACTTGCATTATCCTCGAATAGGGAAATGCTTCTTATTTCAATGTCCTATTAGG